CTCCCTACTGAATTTCAAAGGTCAGTGGCAAATAATGGAAATGTCAGAACTTCTCAAAAGAGTTTGAAAGAATCTTTATAATGGAAAGTGTAAAATGAAAACCTAAATATAGGGTGCTACCAGCTTCCTGAATGATGAACACTACAATTTTCTAAAATAGGCCTGTCCAACAGGGGCTGACATCAGTCATGTTTTCATTAGGTTTTATTCTGTGGTTCCGTCAATTCAATGTGAATTTAACTGCGCTATAACCTTGTGTCCTGTGTTTAATTTAGATCATGCTGTGCAGTTCTCAACGAACTGCTCACCTCCGCATGTGCTGTTATGCGCCTGCTAGCCAAATCCTGCAGTCCTTACTCAGTCAAATCCAATTCCAATAGGGCTATTAGCCTAAGTGCAAACCCTGGATTTAGCCCTTAGTGTGTGGTCAGTCATTAAGGAAAGGATGATCCTCTCCCACAAAGAAGCCAACAAGAAAGATCAGGAAAACAGAGACTGTGGCTTGCCAGCCCCTCAGCTCCTAGGGATCAACAGGGAATGAGTACTCCAGTTTTAGGGAGGAAAAAGCATCTGCTCAGAAACCTGCCAGCTCCATGGTTCCTTCTGATTGAATAAACAATGAGGATAATTGGGCCTAGCCAATCAGTGTCTTCGAAGATTCTGTCTTTATATTTATTACACTACCAAAGATCTCAATCTACAAAAAAACATAGGGGCAAATTGTGTCAAAAAAAATAGGGGCAAGCAGTGCCACTGAGTAAAGGGGTGTAAGATCTATTCACACACACCTTTGTGTAGCCATATTATGGCTCCGCACACTAAAGCTGAAACATGAAGGATGAGATAGACCTGCACTTCTTATAGTCTTCTCCATCACCATGAGTAGGCAGTGGTAGAGACTGGACAGTATCTTGGCTCCATATTAACAAAGAGGGAGAAATTAGCCAGCAGCATTATAAGATGGCATTAATTGCTTCTTCTGCTGGGAAAAGAAGTCACCATCCCATCCAAGGGCTCCCCCTTGAGTTTGCAGCTTCCCAGTTCTTCTGATAACAGACATTGAGCAAAGAAATAGTCTAATCTTAAAACTGAGACCCGAACGTAAAGAAGAGAAATAGTCAGATGGGTACACAGAGTAAACAAGTCAGTCAGACTGGAAATCCTGTATGAATGAAAATAATGGGAAAGATACAAGTAAGTTTCCAATTATTTAAATTCTTCAACTGTGACTGCCAATACAAAGTGGGCATTGACTGCCCGGTAATGTTGTTTCGATCAGTGTGTCACATTTATATTTTATAGTGTCTACCACAGCAAAGTGTTTACACCATACCTCTGAAAACTGCTTACTTTTTAGGGGCAGCCACTGCTCTAAGTGTATCAGCAAGTTATAGTGACAAAAATATGACAATCCCATTTGGTGAGTAGGAATGAAAAAAATAAATTCCAAATGTACCATAAGACTGTTTTACAGCCACACTATGAGTAATTAAACTAATCTCCTTGTAGTAGACTCCAAGGGCATGTCTACACAGCAGCGTTATTTTGAGATAGCATTAATTACACTATTTTGAAATAACAAAGTGAATGTCTACACAGCAAGCCCATTATTTTGAAATAATTTCAAAATGAAGGGCTTCTTATTCCGAATTCTGTAACCCTCATTTTATGAGGAATAACACCTGTTTCAAAATAGGGTACGTGTAGACAGCGCAGCTGTAGTTATTTTGAAATAAGTGGCCTCCAAGGATTCTCACAGCTGCCCTGGTGGTCCCTCTGTCCACACTCATGAGAACTTTATCATTCCCCTTCCCCTGCAGGGTTTAAAGTTGCAGCCACAGGGGAAAGGGCTTGTGGCACAAGGAAAGTCCTGCTAATCCTGTGCCACAAATCAGCAACCTTCCCTGCTGCCATGAGCAACCTCCGTGCTCCTACTGAGCTCTCCATGGCTGCAAGAGAGCTAGTAGCCACCTCTGACGTTCCTGCCAGGAAGCGAAAGAGAAGGGCACCATCCTAATCTGGTGCGGAGATCCTGGCTCTCATTGAGATCTGGGGAGAGGAGGCAAATATCCAGGATCTCTGCACCAGAAACAGGAACACCAACATCACTGGCTGGATGGCTAGCAGCCTGGGCCAGAGGGGCCACAGCCGCACCCAGAAGCAGGCGCGAATAAAGGTAAAGGAGCAGAGGCAGGCCTACACCAAAGCCAGGGAGCACAACTCCCGCTCTGGGGCAGCTTCCCACTCCTGCCAGTATTTTGACCAGTTCCACCACATCCTGGGAGGGGAGTCAGTCCCTCCCCCTCTCCTTTCCTACCCCCCCCCCCCGTTGTGTGAACTCTGGGCTGGAGATGTCCATCATCAGCCTCCCAGAGGGCTTGGCAGTAGAGCAGAAGGAGGAGGAGGAGGAGGCCAGCACTGTCCACCTGTCAGCAGTTGGTCCTGTCCCTGGCTGAAGTGCTGTGGTGTCCACAAGGGCAACCAGAGCAGGCAGTGAGGCTTTGTTGTCCCACAAGGAGACAGGCAAAGGTGAAGAGCCTGAGATACGACTAACGGGGGGGAGGGGTCCCTTTAAGCATGAGCCTCAGATAACCTCAGGCAGCAGCTACAGGAAGTGACTGCTGTCCTGATGCCCTCCCTGAAGTGCTTTGAGGGGGCCTTAAATGTGATTCAGGCTCCAAGCAGTGTGGACGTGCCATTTTGAAATAGCCCTGTGCAGTGTGGACCTAGCCCCAGAGAGCTAGATGGCCTAGTGGTGAGTGCACTCAATTTCCAATCTCTTGCCTGCCCATAGAAAGGGCCTTCAGTTCAGCTCCTATCTTGTGTTTGTGGCTTATCCCTCATTAGAGGGTTTACAACAGCCTTGCCATTGCCCTGCTAGAGGGAAGAGTTGGAAATGTTTTTTGTCCAAGAGTTGTTTGTAGGGGAAGCCAGACCCACCTACTCCACTGGGCCTCAATCCAGGGACTTATGAGAGACAGCAACATTATGCACTCTGGAGCTCTCTAAGGAGCTGCCTCCTTTGGTCACTTCCTGCCATCCTTCTCCTCCAAAGTGTCCAAGTAAAAGAAAAGAAAAGAAAAGAAAAGAAAAGAAAAGAAAAGAAAAGAAAAGAAAAGAAAAGAAAAGAGCCATCCAGGAGCCCTGAGGGTAAGTCTATCATCTTCTCCAGCCTTTACCCTTTGAGATGAGTGGCTCTCTTTTAAGCATCCTCTCCAGATGGAGCATGCTCTGCAGACCTGGAGAGACAGGGCTAATCAGTCCTGTATTGTCCTTTAATCCATCTAGTCTCAGTGTTAGATTGTACATCCCCAACAGTTCTAAAATCCCCTACAGTTTCTAAAAATGGCATAGCCATGTGACTGTTTCTTATGGAGACACTGCTTGGTTCTCTGAAATCCCAAGGGGAAATGGGTAGGTTAAACCAGCAAAATGACAAAAAAAAGTCTATTGCTCAGAAGTATGCTAGCCTGAGCACTATGTACCAGCCTATTATTCTTAACAGGAATTCACAGTAGACAGCAACACAGCAGTTATGGTGTATGCTGTGAATACATATTAACATCAGTACACATATGATGGAAGCATTATATAAAATTCACAGTAAAAATCCATAGGAAAAGTAATTACGCACACATGGTAGATGCTTTTTAAACCTTTATATCTCAGCTGCTTTCTTTCTTAACAATTTATTTGAAAATATTAAATAGGTCAAATAATGGATAAAGAGTCTGCAAAATTGAATCCTTCCCCAGATCCTAACTAATTTATTTTAATTTTAATGGTAACATAAAATACATCCAAATATAAAATGGTTTTATTGTTGTTGTTATTAAATATCGTAACAGAGAAAAGAAGTGCAAAATACAATGTGTGTGTTGGAGACTAGATGATTTGACTGGAAATTTTACATTTCTTCCACTAACACAGAGCCGTTACAATGTCAACATTTCCTTAGATTTTGCGTAGTATTTTTAGTATGCACTGAAACGTTGCTTTGGGACTTTGCATATTTAGAATATTGTGCATTGTATAATAATCTCTGTATGCAAAATTTGTGAAAATGTTGACAATACATAGGTTCTTTCACAATATAAATCTTAATACATAAATTCCAATTGAGAATAAAGGGATGCTACATTCTGTTCTATTATAGTAATTGTAATAGCAATTTAGAATGAAATGAGTATGTGAATAGTCTAGTATTCTGCAATATCCACTTAAGTTTTAAGACTTTGGCCCCTTCAAATATATATATATATTTAAAAAAAAAAATAGGCCCAATCAAGATAAAGAACTTATATCCTGCAATTTCTCTGCAATAAAAAAGAAAAGTTTGCTTGTGAGATTGTTTTTTGTTTGTTTTGGAGGGTTTTTTCGAATTAGAGGTAAAATAAAAGGGTTCCTGAAATTGACTGGTTGGCACACGTGCAGGCAGAGAGACACACACACATTTTCTGCCTTCTTATAAAAAAAGTCCAAACCAATTTAACTAAAACTTTATGGAAACAAAAAAAGAACAATAATGCCAAGCTTGGGCCCAGTGTGAATTAAAGCAGATGAGATATAAACCATTCAAAAACAGGATTTATAATTAAATGCTGATACAGACCTATAATAACAGGAGCCTTGCCAGGGATTACTTTAATACTAAAAGCATACTCAGTCTCCCACTTTTTAAATTTTAGCTTACTTAGTCACTAAAAAGCAAAAAGTACGATAATAGTAAAGGCTTAATATTTTTTACATAAGACAGTCCATTCTTATTTTAAGTCTTGATAACATTTTGCTTGTGTGAGGCATCTCTCTCGTAAAAACAAGGTGGAGTTTGTCACAAGCACAGCACCATAGCAGGGCTTAGCCGAGAGGCTTTGTCAGCTTTATTTAATAGTTTCTTGTCTGTTGTTGATGAGAGAGACAAAAGGGTTAAGGAAGAAAGAGCAGATAGCAGGGAGAGACAGCTGACAGGAGGAGAGAAAGAGAGAGAGAACATGAGAATAGGAAAGGAGAATGAATAAAAGTAGAAACAGATGCAGTTGGAAAAACAGGTAAGAGAATCAGGAAGGAAGAACAAAATTGCAAATAACATTTTAAGACAAAAAGACTTCTTAAACGTAAAGGAAACATTTAATAGAAGGCAAGATATTAACAGAAAGCAAGCTAGGGGAAAAATCTTCTGATTACCCTGAAACAGGTATGATTATAAATGGATCACAATGAAAGCAGCTAGTGCATTTTAAATATATCAGAGGTGGGAAAAGCAATTGTGTGTATGTGTGTGTGTGTGTGTTTGGCAACACGCTAATTTCTGATGTTGCGGTGGGCACCCATTGCATTGGCACATATTTTTGAAACATTCAGAATGTACTTCTAGTTTGCATCAATTTTCTTTTTTTCCCCCAGGATTATTACCAAAAATCCCTGAAGAAAAAAAAAAGGAAGGATTTCTTACAAAGACCCCAGATGGATACACTCTAACATGATTTTTGTGTTCTCGAGTAGCACACAGCATTTTGAACCCCACACATAGATTGCTCATGATAGCACTAACAAAAACTACTGTTGTGACTTACACCTGAGCTAAACCCCCTCAGGTGTGTCATAATACCTGCATTTCTTTCTGATTTCAGCTGCTCCTTAATTGTTTTTTATGGCTACCTAGGGGCACAAAGGAGATTTTGATCAATATGACATAGCCCTTTTTTATAAATAATACAATATTACCAACTATGGAGTAGCTGTACCTGTAGGAACGGATAAAAATGAATATTGGCATGTCTATCTATATAGATTGCCCATTAAGTAGAAACAGATTTAGTAGAAATGCACCTACTGTATGTAAAATGCTGGTACAGATTTTTTTTCCCCCTATCAGTCTAACCTTCTGTGTTGATACATGAATGCTGGTACCCACTTACAGGGATGCCAGATGATCAGTGCAGAATGAAGGTCCCAGGAGAAAGGATCACATGGTTTTCTCTGCCCTGTGACGTCACTAGCAGATGGCATGGGTACCAGCTCTGGCAGTTGGCATCAATGTCACTTTTTAGAGATCAATGAGATAGTGCAGAGATACACAGATCTAGACTCCAGGAGACGATGCGACATTCAGACTGAAAAGATTTGGAAGGAAAAAAATGAAAACTGAGTTTTGAATGAAAAAAAGCTAAGGTAATATAAATAAAGATATATTTCAGTTGGGGCTATGTGTGCATGCAAGTGTTTAAAGATACAGTATCATTGTCTTGTATTTTATGTATGCTGTTTACTACCTATAACTTCTCCTAACATTCCATTCTTATGATGTAATTGCATACTTTCACTGGGATTATGCAATACTGAAAGTGTATAGGCAATACTAAGAGAGTTAGTCTTTTTTAAGGGGTTTTGTTTAGTTTTGTTCTATTAAAAAGTCTGCCTTTATTTGTGCTTGTCTCTGAGGACAGTGGATCTAAGTATTTGCTGTTTCAAGACTGAAAACAAAAACAATTCAAAAAGAAAATTATTTCCTCATTTCATTCTGGATTCTGAACACACGTGCACAATTGCAGTCAGAATCCACAGCCCATTCCTGTCAGATATTAGCTAGAGGGAGACGTCTGATTCTTGCAGAACATAAACACTGCTAAAGCATGGGGGGTTTTTGTTTTTGGTGATTATGTTTTCTAACCCTGATTGACTGAAAAAGAAAAACAAGTTAATTCCAACAACTAAATTGTACTATTAATTTAGAATCTTTCCTTTACAAATGAGAGAAAAATTTTCTTTTCCAATTCTTTCTAAGTAAATACGTTTAAGTATAGATAATTCCTGGTTTATTTTCTAATCGGAAATAAATACTCCGTGTTTCATATATTTTCACATTGATCATTAGAAAACCTCACTTCATTTTAATTAAGTCACTGAATGATTCATTTGTCTTAGGGGGTTTTTCCCATTTGAATTCTTTCTAACCAATTTTAATTTACCGGACTTAAAAGTATTGGTACATGAACGAAAGCATGTGAACAAACTTCAAAATAAAAGTTAATAGGTGATTTAAAAAATATTTGTCTACGAGTTAATAGAGATATAGCGCTTTCATTTTTAAGACTGGTCTCTCCTTTTTTATATTTTACCCAGGGGAATTTGTATTAATGAAATCTCCACGTTGCTTTATCATGTTTTGCATTTGCTTAAATTCCACAGTGTTGGGGATTCTAAAAGCTTCTTTTAAAAAAAAATACAAATGTGGAGGGAGTTGATTATAATTATTAAATACTGTTCTGCTCTTTATGTACTTGTAATAAATATGCTTATATCAGTGATCATATAATTCATGTTTTTTATATTTTTTACAATTTTGACAGCTAATTTTAAAAAAAACTAAACAGAAAAAACCTTTCAAAGTGATAAAGATATTTTATTAGAAAATTGTATCGTATATTATATACATGTACATGTGTGTATATACATACAAGTGAAAGGTATGTGTAGCTGTTTTGTAAGTATACAAGCTTGACAAATGGAAATATTTAAACATTGTGCTGGCATTCTTTCAGGTAACTTAAGATTATAGAACCATGCTAACACTACCATTTGATGAGTCTGTTGTAATGCCAGAATCCCAGATGTGCAGAAAGTTTTCCAGAGAAAGTGAGGACCAAAAGCAAATTAAGAAGCCAGAAAGCTTTTCCAAGCAGATTGTGCTCCGAGGAAAGAATATCAAAAGGGCCACTGGTGAAGACACAGAAAAAGAAGAGGAGGAAGAAGACAGAGAGGAGGAGGATGAGAATGGTTTGCCTAGAAGGAGGGGCCTTAGGAAGAAAAAGACAACCAAGATAAGAGTGGAAAGGGTCAAATTCAGGCGGCAAGAAGCCAATGCTAGAGAAAGGAACAGGATGCATGGCCTTAATGATGCTCTGGACAATTTAAGAAAAGTGGTCCCTTGTTATTCAAAAACACAGAAACTGTCTAAAATAGAAACTTTAAGACTAGCCAAAAACTATATTTGGGCTCTTTCTGAAATCCTGCGTATTGGCAAGAGACCCGACCTGCTCACGTTCGTCCAAAACTTGTGCAAAGGTCTATCCCAGCCAACTACAAATTTGGTGGCCGGGTGCCTGCAGCTGAATGCCAGAAGTTTCTTGATGGGCCAGACAGGGGAAACTGCCCATCACACAAGGTCACCATATTCCAGTTTCTATCCTCCCTATCACAGTCCTGAGCTCAGCACTCCCCCGGGACATGGAACTCTTGACAATTCCAAGTCTATGAAACCCTACAATTACTGCAGTGCTTATGAATCCTTCTATGAAAGCACTTCCCCTGAGTGTGCCAGCCCACAGTTTGAAGGTCCCTTAAGTCCTCCCCCAATTAACTATAATGGGATTTTTTCCCTGAAGCAAGAAGATGCCTTGGACTATGGCAAAAATTACAATTATGGCATGCATTACTGTGCAGTGCCACCCAGGGGTCCCCTTGGGCAGAGCTCCATGTTCAGGTTGCCTACCGAGAGCCACTTCCCTTACGACTTACATCTGCGCAGCCAGTCTCTCACCATGCAAGATGAATTAAATGCAGTTTTTCATAATTAATGAGGAAAATGAAAATAAACAGTGGTCACTCACCTCCCCATCTAATTAAGATAAAGCAGATGCTTGTGCACTGCATAATGGGCACAACTCTATTTAACGTGTTTACTAGTTTCTAAAGTGTGTTTCAACTATTGTGGGAATTTTCTATGTACTAATAAATCCTTTTTCTTATACGTATTTTTCCTTTTGTTTTTTGTCTGTAAACACTGTGAGATTGTTTCTTACAAGAGGTTTATTTTATTCTTTTTGTCCACCCTATTCGCTTGATTCATTGAACAGTGTGTCTAAACAATATAATTGACGTAAACGCATACACACTGTCTAAAGTCAATGTCTGTTTTAATTGTACAGTACCTATACAAATGCATGTTATTAAAATCAAATAAGTGAAATGATGTATTTATAATTATTAGAAATTATATATTATGTATTTGAGAAGAACTGGAATTTTAAAAATTATTCAGAATTTTAAAAGAACTGTCCCTAAATTGAGATGGTCTTACGAGATGCAGAGGAGTTAGTGCAGCAATATTTAAAGCTATGCAAAAAATATTTTCTTTGATTTTGGAGGGGAATTGTTTTATTCTCGGGCACAAAAAATATCGGTGATCACCTCTGAGAATTATTCCGCATAAAATTTGGGGTGTTTGCTGATAGGAGTTATATAACATTTTAGACGATGTTGTCAAAATTTTGCATTAGTTATTTTAACATAATAATACAATGGTATCAGCACTTTTTTGTATTATCCTGACTTCAGATGTAAGGGTTTGTTATGACAATGTATTACTGTGGTTTTTTCACTACATATTTTAAATGCGATTAAACATACATGTCTCCACTCATAAAGTACATCTATTAACTGTGGTACAGTATTTTGCCTGATACTTATTATTGTACAGTACACAGGTGTTTTTTTCTCCTTGTGCAGCATTATTTTTTCCACACTCTTAATGATTACATTTGGATTTTGAAACCATGGACAATTATCAGGGTTTACTACATACCACATTCAAACACACATCTTACCAACATATAGGCACACCCTAGATAGCCTTAAACAGCAGCAGCTATATCTTCATCATTAAAGATAATAATGAAAATAGTATTTTCAGACGTTAGTATTTCTAGCCTACTAAAATGCAAGGACAGATCTTAAAACATACAAAAGTTGGTAAGTTCACAAATAGCACTGAACTGCCTTTAAACAACTCTGGTATCTAGAATAGTGCTTGGGATAAGAGGCGAGGAAGGGTGTGTCGATTGACAGATTCCCTGATCACTGCTTGCTGTAGTTCAGGGTTTGTGTAATGAGAAAGTTGCTCTGATTTAACTAAAAATGCAATTGATTTAATTCAACTGGTGCAAAAGGCTATGTGGAAACTCTTAGCTCTGTTTAAACTAGGTTTATTCCAGTTAACTGTCAATTAAAAACAGGTTTAAGATGACTTGAAATAAGACCTTTTAAAACTGAATGAAGTATCGGCCCAGCAATTTGCACTGGGTTTAAAAACTGATAGAAATTAAATTAGTTTCTGCCTGTAGACAAGGCCTCTGATTTTGGAGAAGTAAATACAAATGCTACTGACAAGCATTCACTTCTAAGGGACAAGAATGACTTCACTTGGGTACATGTGGAGTTATTTTTTAAAAAAATAAAAAAAAATCCTTTCTATATTTTATATAAACCTAACAACCAGAAACTGAACCACAGCCCTAGATATTGGTTTGGTAATAGCTGATGCACTTTGGACCCTCACTTTATTATGCCTCCCCCAAAAGGAGGGAACAGACTGATTTCTCTTTCTAGCTTCATGGTTTATCTCATGCCTAATTTCACAACTAGCTCTAGTTGTTAGTATGCTCAGTTACTGGTCTAGGCTGATGTCTAGTAAATGCTAAATGTTTCTTTTTAGTTAGAAATGGGCCCAATCCACAAAGTGTAAATCTAGATTCATATCGATAATATCTGAAGTGGGAGAATGGTTTGGGTCCAGGGTGCTGCTTTGGTAGAGTCTTTTACAGACATAGGTGTCCTAACATAGTAGCTGATAGAGATCACTATCCAAACCTTCCCATAGTTCAGGATTGTTGGTTCCACAGTTTTGGTTAAGGGCCCATTTCAATATTATATCGGAAACAGGAAAAAGGGAAATTGGCAGAAAGCAGCTTTTTATATGGGACCAAGTGCCAAAAATATTTTTACCACCATCTTATTAATTTTTGTTGAACATGATAGGGGTTTGTGAAATTAGGGATGAAGAAGATACCCTTTTCCCTGGTAACTGTTTCCGTATTTATGCAGAACACCAAATACTGTTTAACAACAATAAAATACAAGCAGGTGACAGAGGGATGTCTGAGGAAGAAAAATCTGAATGCACGGAGAAGAAACATGCAGTTACTACAAAGTGTGGGTATTATCCTGTCACTGGACAGCAGGGTAAGCAGGTCCAGCCAAAGGGTTTGCGGGGCCTGAGGAAAGACATTGGGAGTGGGGCCCCGGGCCCAGCCGGTGGATGGTAGAGCACGGGGTTCCAAAAGCGCGAGGCCCAAGGCATTTGCCTTATTCGCCTTGCCCGCGGCAGAAGAACCCAGAAACACATGACCTTTGTGGAGTGTACGCCTACTGGTTGCATGCAGCAGTCTTACGTTTTTAGATTTTCAAGTGTTTGTCTTCACCTGCAAGGAGACAGAGGGGAGCACGACAAAGTGCACTTCCCACAATGGTGTATTTATGAAAATGTGTGTGTGTGTGTGTGTGTGTGTGTGTGTGTGTGTGTAAGTTGTGAGAGATGTTACAAAAATGACCCAAAGTTATGTACAGAGGGAAATAAATGCCTGCTATGATATACTTAACAAACGCAGGGGCAGTGTGCTAAGCAAAAAAAAGCACTTCAGGCCCTGCAATTTGGTGGCTCTAGCTCTGTGGGCCATTGTTAACTCAATAACTCGGGGGACAATTCATCTTTCCTTCTGGCCACAGAACCAGGAGGGAGGGAGGAAAATCAATGTCAGTCAGGATCGTCACACTCAACGCCATGGAAGGTCCAGAGAAGAGGCATCTCATGGCCAGATTACTCACTCTGGTAGCTCTGTAAGGTCACTGCTCTGCCTCAAGGCACTGCAAATTGTAAAATCAGGGCTCAATAAATGATAAAGCAAATAACAGAAAAATACTGAGTGGAACATAAAATTACTTTCCCTGGCTGGTAAATTATGAAACGACTAGAGATACTGGAGGAAGGAATTCCCTTGATTTAACTATGTCTCTCCTACACATATACCCATTAATATAGGGAGCAGATTATCTGCACAGCTGCCCATTGCAGAGCTCTTCTGACACCTTGCTCTGAAGCAATTGATACTGGCCTCTGTCTGAGTTTGGATGCTGGCCTAAATGGGCTGCTGGTCTGTTCTAGTATGGAAATTCCTGTGTTCCTAAAATCTATTACCTCTGACATCCCTATTGTCTATACAGTGGGGTTATGCCCACTATAGGGATCTGATATCTAAAGCGCACTACTGTGTTATGCTTTTATTGGTCTGTGTAGACCCTGCTGGTGTGCACTAAAGGTTCCCTAGAACAGTTTAACATGGTACTGTTTTGAACATCACTTCTTGAAAGCACACCAGGGAACTTTTAATGCATACCAGTAGGGCTATATGGTACGATTAACACAAAACACATTAGTCACTTTAGATCTCACACCCCCATAAGGCCCATTACTCCAATACGTTGACAAGCCCTTAGTGTGCTGGGGTGAGATTTAATTAGTGCCCCACAGCTGGCCTATCTCGGCTACCCTGCACTCTTCTACTCAGGGAAAAAGGGTTATTTTGTTGCTTGCCAAGCTCTAAATGCAGTGTAGACACACTCCACACTTCCATGGTCATGCACCCATTTTGGAAAACCTTCTGGCTTTACTCTCTCTGGATTCATCTGTGCTGTTTCTCTCCATAAATATACACAAGGAGACCTTTAAAAGGCATGAAGAGTACACACACACACCCAAGACTCTCACACACATACACACACACAGGCAAAGTTTCCTTATACTGGTGATACCCTTTCCCACCTGTACCTACCTTACTCTTCTTTTATCCACTGTGCCCTTAGGGCTCTTGAAGGCAGCAAATTAAATGAGATTGGAAATCCAGCTGAAACACATGGCAGAATCCTTCAACACAGAAGCAAATGTCCAATCTCTCTTTATATTAAAGGCGAGCTGTGTGAGTTTATGTTCTGAATTATGATCTGAATTGCATTCAGCCAATGATTTTATTTTATAGTCCATAGTCAAGGTCAAATCAGCCTTGATTTGGCAGTATCAAATCTTACAAGATGGCCTCACAAAATGTTAAGCCAACACAACAAAAATCTAGGCCTGAAATTTGTGAGGCCACCACTCTGCATGAGATTTCATCAGTTTCAGAATCAGAAAATATTAATTTGGATCCAGGCCCACCGACCAGGGGGACGAGAGGGGACGCAAAGGGAACAAGTCCCCAGGGTATGGAGATTCAAAGGGGCCTGGAGATCCCAGCTGCTGCTGTCACTAATGCAGCAATGGCAGTGGCCACAGCCCTGGGCCCCTTTGAATTTCTATCAGAGCACTGGTGTGTGTAACTCTGAGGGCTTGGGTGGCACTAAGGACTGACTGCCCATGGCCCCTCCTCTTCCACGGGCATGGAGCTCTGCCCCACTGTCTGGATCCGACTCAGAAGTAAACAATAGAGGCAGGCTCAGATTTACACTGGAGGGAAATAGGTCAGCACAGAGGGCAGTTGGCACAATACCACTGACCCTCAAGGACAGCTCTGCCGTGACTCATCTACTCCAAGATGAATGTCATCATTAGGGGCCAGCATTCAAGTTTCCCAGTTCCTGACCCTCTACATTCCAAGACAGACATGTCATATCTGCTCTCAAAATTCTGTCACATCACGCTGGTAAAAGGCTGGCCAGTTTGGCAAAAGCCCTGTCCAAAGACATGGAAGAATTTACCTGGTGGGAGTGGGGAAGCCAACTTTGAGAGCAGAACAGCTTGAGAGGAATTAATATTTTTTTTATGCCAAGCATGATCAATGAAAGGGGCACCCCATGCAACCAAATGATGGCTATATGATGCCCTCAGATGGGTTATTGTCTCAGCCTCATGTACAAAAGTTATTACATAGCAGCACATAGAGCTTCTCCAAAAAGGCTTTTCTCCAGAACTGTTCTTCTTAGTTAACCTTGCCCTATATTATAATATTTATATTTATATTTGCAACTGCATTATACACACTATTTAATTCTGGAATGCTATTAATATTGAAGACACTGTACAAAGCCAAGCTGGATTGTCACCTAGAACATAATCAGGTTTCGGTATCAGTTGAGATTTGGAGGTATTTTGGGAAGTTTTTAAAAGCCTCTGATATTGGGTATAACACCTATTTTTAAAATCCACCTTTTTCTTGGGAATATGAAAGTCTCTTCCTTTCCCCCCACACCACTCCCCAGTATTCAGAAGCCTTGAAAAATTGTTTGCAGAGTAGATATCCACCCAGATGTTTTTTCTGACTTGGACTTTATTAACTTGCCAAATTACATTTTTCACATGAAGCAGTTTACTGGTCTAAAGGTAAAGCCTGAAATATTAACTTTCTGATGCTTTATTAGATCAAAACTTTTTTTAAACATTTTGTATTTTTAAAAAACAAAAGGGCAATAAACAGGGAATCTAAGCCCAAAATAATTATCTATAAGCCCTTGAATACCAGGGTTGATAATATAAAATGTGCCATATAAGAGGAAGAAACTAAGGGCTGAAGTCAATAGGAGTTTTGCCAGATTTCAGACAGGTCCTGAAGC